TGTCCAACTTAAAAGTGCGGAAAAGTATGTACCTAAAGCCCTGACTGACCATTTATACTATGAGCACTAAACAGAAGCCAGACATGAATAATGAGCATGTTCTTTTTTTACTTCTAAACTCAAATGATAGATATGGTAAAAGGCATTAATCACCATCTAAGGTAAAAAATGATTTTGTGAGACTGCAATGTAGCAAAACATAAATGGAAAATTATATGACTGAACAGATTATTTTAGGCAGCAAGCCACTAAACAACTGAAAACCTACTCAGACAAGTGTGAAATGAAATTTTAAGGAAAAAGAATGAGATTTTCTACGACTTATAACAGCACTAAACATTTCTGCGCATAGAATGACATTTAGGCTTGTTACGTCTGTTGAGCTCTGACTTTTAGTAGAAAATAATATGTCTTTCACAGTGAACACAGTGTAAATTCTAAAAGAGTAAGCTCCGTCAGCTTGAACTGCTGAGATGCCAATGTGTCTGTGATATTTTAGCTAAATGTAATTACACGTATAATAAAATTATCATTTTTCAAATCATCCTTTCCCACTTGGCAGTTCCAGAAAGTCATCCAGAGGCAAACTACGTGTGCCTTAAGAGCTGAGCCCACTCAAGAGACTGAGGCCCTAATTCTAGGTCTTCCATTAGACCATTAGCCACACAAAGCATTCTGAAGAAATTCTCTGATGAAAATATAAAAACCTGTTCCTGACAAAATAGTTTAAAAATTTTAAGCGACTGAAGGCACATTCAAAATGACTGAAGATGACGAATGAAGCCACCTGTCAGCAAGCAGAAACAAAGCGTCCAGGGGAGGCTGACTCTACTGGGTGCCAAATTCCAGTGGAAACTTTGCCGGCACGCTTGTTTCTGCTGCTGGAGCCTGAGCACCCTTTCCAAAGGTACCTGGCATGTCAAGATGATGGAAATTACACAAACACACCCCATAACAAATAAATGGGGTCAAAGCACAGCGTGGGAGTAGGGTTTTGGTGCTGTCACTGAACTTAGCAAAGCAAACACAAGTTTCGCAAGTCATTTTTAGTACATGCAAGGTATGTGAGCTAGGGGAGGGGGAGTTATGAGGAAAACCAAAGCCTCCAGTCAAGATCCATCTTTCACTTTCTGTAATACTGCTTCCAGGTACCCATTTAAGGAAGAACCTTAGGGAAAACATGAAGCTCGCTTTGCATCCCTGTCTCAGCTGCCTGCTGCCTACCCACCTGGCACAAACTGTAACAAAGTGTTCTACCCCAGACTAACAATACAGTCGATGTTCTTCTTCACACCCCAAGGCTTTTCCCAGAGATCTGAGAACTGTCAGCTTGGTCCTCGCACAGCCCTTTTAGGTGATCCACCTGTGTGCAGCACGGTCCTTCTCTCTGGGCACCGATCTCTAGAGGCCAAAAATGACTATGTTCAAAACCTCAAATCTCTTTCACTTATGACCAACCAAGAACTGGGAACCATAATTATGTAAATGATTTCTCATATATTAGTGTTCCCCAAGGCCTGATAGCAGCACAAAGTTACATTCCCTGGAATGAAGAAATCCTGCATTTCCAATTAAGAAGAGATCTAGATACTTTGACAGTCAAGTGGATAAAGAGTAAGCCTGCCACCTTCCTATGAGATTTTAAATTGTGTTCCTGACTAGAGAGAACACCTACCTCTACATGGAGAAACACATTGGCAGAGCCACCACTGCTAAATACACTTTAATCTGACTGGAGAAGCCTGGGGCAGCCTAAACTTCCATTACTCTATTGAGAACTAATTCAACATCTCTCTCACACAGTTCTAAGTTTCCCTTATTCCTAGATGACCTGTCCCCAAAACTGTAAATAGGGAACCACCTGTCACCTGTGTGATTCCCCAAAGAACCAAAGGAGACATAGAAATAAACACACTAGGACATTACACTACGACCAGAGGATGACAGACCTATATAACCATAAGTGACTGCAAACTGCTGTATTTCTAAAGAGTCTTCTGTATACTGAATGCTTCTTACAGTCAACTGATAAGAAAAGTTTCACCATCCCAGGAGGCAGGGAGGCATTTGCAATGAGAAAAGAGATTTTTAGACCATAAAACAACCAATAGTAGCTAATGCACACATGTGCTCACACACAACATTAGAAGTTAAAGTAGATATCAAATTGAGACCTAACCCTCTACCAGAAAACCCCTTGTATTCCTTTCTGGGATCAAGGCTTTACTCGAAGAAGAGTTTTTTGTTAAAATGATACATGTAAGACTAGAGCAGGGCTACCCTACTAATTTGGTACATTAAAAGTTAAGCATGAAAAGATGATGCAGAAAAAATACAAAGAGAAGAAGTTTTCTGAGACGTTCCCTAAACACTCCGGCCCCTCTGCAAGGAGGGATCAGATGGAGAAATGGAGATGCCCATCCCTTACGGGAACACCTGACATTGTTCACAACTCACAAGGCCTCATTTCTTCAGGGTTCTAACCGCAATATGGATATATCAGCGGTGAGGCTTCTAAAAAAGTAATGGCTGCTTCTTGCAGCTGAAGTATCCACTTTCCTAATAGCCAGAGATGTTTGCCTCTGTTTGGTAGATAGAAAACTCATGCAAGAAGGAGAGTAGAGAACCTTAGGATGCTGATTCTTTTGAGGAGGCAGAAAGGAGGAAAGTGCTGGAGAGGAGGGTGGTTCACTGGCCCTGCCTAAAAAAAAACAGAGATCTGATGTAAATATGCTAAAATGTTAACGTTTGTTCAGTCTAGGGGCCAGGCTTCCAAAAATCTATTACATGTACCTACTTTTAAATTTTCTGAAAGTTTGACATATTTAATAAAAAAGTAAAACGTTTTAAATGTGAAAAAGAGACACAGAAGGCACAAAGTAAATGCGGCTGGTATCTAAGAATGCAAAGTGGCAAACTCGAATCATGCCACTTTGATTAAATGTAATTGCCAAGCAACACAATAAACACAAGCCTCCTGGGAACACTCAAATCCAAGATAACACACACTAAAATTAGAACCTGTTTTACAGTTTTTTATTTTATCACCAGATAGTCTTTTGATACCAATCTTGTTAATAAAAAACACATCGGTACATTTGTCCTTTGCCAAATAAAATGCATGTCCATATTTGAAGCTGTACTGAAGAATATGTAGGACTATTTTAATGTGCATTTGTTAATCAGAATGCAGCGAAACCCAGGGGTCATAAATGCGGCAGCCTGATTTTTAGTACAAAAGCTAAGTTAGGACCAAAGTGTAAGTGACACAGAAGTACACATTTTCTGCTCAGCATTCAGAGAACAGCAGCAGGATTTAGGTCCATGCTAACGAACACAGCTGCTGTCACAGAAAGACAACTCAGAAAACCCAGAGCTTTCTTTTCAAGGATCCTCTACCAAACAGTCCATACCAACAACAGAATGGCAGCCATTTAGGGCCAACATGGACTCGAGGGGCTTCGCAACCAGGTTTTCCAAGTATCTGTTTTAGTATATAGTATCATGAGATCATTAGATTAGAGTACAGAGTACAAGGCTACCAATCTGCCAATTTTGTGGATAGGTGCTACCAGCTCACTGCATGAAAAAAATCATTAAAATATCACAGAAGTTGCCAACTGTTAGCACAAGGGCCAAGTCTGGCCCATAGATATTTTATTGGGCTCACACAACATTTTTTTAAAGCTTGTATTAGGATTAATACTTTAAAAGTTTTGGATTTCTCTATTTTTAATTATCAATATATCTGGCAACACTGGGCTGGTCTGAGCTAAATGGCAGCTGCTCAATTTTTATAAAGCAGGGTCACTATGGTCCCCACTGCTCCTTCTCACCCACCTTCACCAGCATCACTTACAACACTACTTGCCCTATGCCTGTAGGCATTTTAATCTGTGGCTGCCACACCTTGGAGATACTGGAAATGAGTAAATTTTCCTTAGAACAAAATTAGGGGATAAGAGGGAGACAGAGATGGGGCTTGGTTTTTAAAATTCTGAATTCCAACACAGGGGGTGGAAGATGGGAGGAAGAGCATGAACCAGAAGTCATCCCCATCATCAGCATACACTCATTTCCATGGTCGTGTTTATGAGCTTCATCACAGATACAATGCCTTTTCCTGTGCTGGCGGGTTCCCTGAATACAGGAGATTCTAGACCCGGAACGATGTTCACATAGGCTTAAGAGGGAACCACTGCTGCTCTCACACTGCCTACAGACTCACAGAGGTCTACTGGCTTGTCTGTGATGCAATGCTCCCACCACCCAAGCCAGCCGTGGGAATTTCTTTCTACTTAGTAATGCAGCAGATGCCCACAGTGCTGCACCCATTTCATATCAAGTAACCTCAGCCTCACATAGTGACATCTGTTAAGCCCAGAGGAAAAGAAACTATAGCTGACAACAAAAGATGTTTTATGCAGAGAGGAGAAATTACTCATCAACACAAAAATAAGTGGCAGACACTCACACACAAAAGATGCACAGAGGGAGATGGAATAGAATGTCCTTTATCAATCAACTCCAAGGAAATATAAATGCATCTACATCAAATGAAATTTCCAAAGAAGAACTGTAATGAGCTCCCTATTGTGCATGGATAACACATACATTCATATATACATACACACCCCTATGTATATATAGCCCATAAATATGAAAAAGTATAGGATATATTAAGTTACCACTACATGTACACTACATATAAAAATAAAATAAAATAAAAAACAAGATAAGATACTGAGTAGGGAAAGTTTCCAGAGCATAGTACATCAATCTCAAGGCATCTTTTTTTAACTGAAACCTAATTTTCCTGATCAGAAGTGCCAAAGCTCACGTTCTCACAAGTGTCTGCAGAGTTTCAAGAAACATTTCACAATCTAAAGAGTCTTTCTCCTTAGGGTTACAGGATCACTGGCAGAAAAAATTAAAACTATAACAATTTCCACAATGTGGTTTTTTCACCCCCACAGATAGAAAAGAAGGTAAACACTTACGGCAGAGAGCTGGCTCCATGTAGATCTCAGTGGCTTATGATGAATCACAATTTTTTCGTCTGATTTCTGTTCTTTAGGCTCTGACTCTTCATCAGAGTCAATGTCAAGAGCCTTTTCTTTGTAGTTTTGATACAGAACAGCATTTTCTGCAGGAAAAGAAACTCTACATGTCACTAACTGCCCCCCCCCCACATTAGGCTGCTTGTTCTAAACAAACATCCCTATGCATACAATGTTTTATTCCAGTTTAATAAACCACAAAGATACGAATGGATTTTGTCACTGAAGAGTAATTAGCAAAAAGTGATATTCTCACTCACACAGCTCTGTCCCAAACTCATCTGCAGGGGAAGGGGAAGGGGAAGGGTCCGTACTTGAAATACCAACTGAAGAAAGTTTCCATGTCTCTGTCTACCTCCTCGCCTGTAAAATCAGTGTCTTTGGTTAAACTGAATTCCCACTCTACCTTTCCTTCAAGGTCTATCACCATTCATGAATCTAGTTAACAAACATTTATTATACATTCACAATATGCCAAGGCCGGGGAGCAAATGGAAAATAAAAGACACTTCTCATGCCCTCATGAGATAAACATTTAATGAGAAAAACAGTCTAAGTCACTCATTCATTTATTCACTCAATCACTATTTAGAAAATGCCTACTAGTTATCTGCCAACAACTGCTAGGCACTGTGGATATGACAATAAACAAAAAAGATTAATACTCTCCATCGTCAAAGAGCTGACATCAGGGTAAGGAGAGAAAGACAATAAATAAATAAATAACTTTTGTAGTATGGCAGATGCTGGTAAGTGTCATGGAGAAAAATAAAACAGAGAAAGTTGGAGAGTGTTTTGGGGGGAGGCTGCAGATTTTAAGGAGGGTGGTTTAGAAAGACCTCACCAGGGGGTATTTAAACAAAGACTTAACAGAGGTAAGAAAGCAAGCCACCTGGACAGCTGGGAAAAGAACATCTCATCTGAGAGAATAGCAAGTACAAAGCCCTGGGGCAGGAGACTGCTTGGTGTGTCTATTAGTACAAGGATCAGTAAGAGGAACTGTGTGGCTGGAATAGGGTGAGGGGGGCAGAAAGTATAGAAATTAGGGGTTGGGGATGAATAGAGGGCAGATCATGTAGAGAGATTTCCTTCAATGTCATTGAAAGGACTTTGGTTTTTACTTTAAGTAAGAAGGTATGCTATTGTAGATGGAGGACACAATGATCTTGCATAAATACATGCCTACAAACCGAAAGGTTTACATACAGGGGCTGTGAGAACAGACTGTCAGCAGGGTGTGATCCAGTCTGAGAGTAACAGAGGAGTTAATGAGGAAAAACTAAGATCTGAAAGTTAAGAAGCAACAGAAAGCTAAAGGAACAAGCGCATGCAAAAGCCCGGTGGCAAGAGGAAACAATGGCTTAGAAAAACAAAGGAAGGTTAGTGCACTGAAGCAGGTGTCTATGGACAAAGGGTGCAAGATGACTGTAGGGAGATGAGCCAGAGAGTTCAAATCAAGCAGAGCTTTGCAGGCAATGTTAGAGAACTGGATTTTATCTTGAGTACGAAAGGACTGAGTTTCTTTTACACTGTAGATTGTACTTTAACCTGATTGCAATGGGACTCCACTGAAAGGAATGATTTGATTAGATTGGAGAAGCAAAACATTGACTACTTAGGCAACTAATGAGGATGTTACTCAAGTGATCAATGAAAGATAGTGGAGACTTGTGCTATTCGACTTAGAAAGGGCTGGAAATGAACTGGATGTGGAGGTCAGAGAGGCACTGGTAAAGATGTTTGCTAGGTCTTCAGGTCCCACAATGTGAAAGAAGGATGGGAACACCATAAGAGAGCCAACTTCAGTGAGGAAGATTGATTTAGGTATATTGAGGTTGCAATGCCGTTCCCATCCACTGAAGCAAGCGAACATCTTTCTCTTCTTTCATCAACTACTGCATCTTCTGCATGCACTACAACTAAAACAATAAGGGGATCTACACAAGATTTTACAATTCTCTGATTATTCTGCAGAAGTAAAACAGAATATGAGAGCTGAGACTGATTTTCCCCCACCTCCATAGTGTACTTCAAAGTACTTGGTGGTGTGCAAAAATACATACATACACTGCTGGGATGATTTCTCATGCATTCCTACAACAATGTGGGCAGTAGTATTATTAGCCTCATTTTACACATGCAACGGAGGCTCAGTGAAGTTAAGATACTTGCTCAATATCATTCAACAGAGGAGTGGAGGCACTAGGATAGGAACCCAGGTCCCTGGCTCTAACATCACCAGTTCTCACCAGTCTACCTACCGCTATCTAAGTTGCATTCTTGTTAGTCATTAACTGCAAGAATGCTGCATTCCTCATGCACATATATGTGAACAAGAATTTCTAGGTCATCATACTTGAGAAGAGGGTGCTCAGAAACAGCTCCTTAGAGAAGGAAACAACATAAAACTAGTTATAATGAAGGTCTGTCCTGTGACTTAAAAAACACTCAACATTTTTAACCCTTTGAGGCAAAAGTCCCAGAAGCAGTGTCAGATTTTAGAAGATGCACAACCTCTCCCTAAAAAGATATTAGGCAGATGCTCTGTTAACTTCATGGTCATAAAGCAGCACAAAAGGAAGCAAACTGGACTAAGTTCCAGACCTTTGTCTTCATGCAGGCTGTGTGACAGTGGACAAGAAACTAAACTTCTTAAAACTTCCAGTTTCCTCAATTAGGGAGATGAATTTATCCCAACCTACTAAAATACTGTATCTGGGTTTCTCTCCAGTTTCCTAAGGTAGGTGCAATGAAAAAGTTTTTATAAACCACTCATGTTTAAACACTCCAATGGCAACTGATACTTAAGAATTATATAGGGAAATTTTTTGTCATGACCCAAGATTATATATTTCATAACTCTGGGTGGTGTAACATTAGATACACTTATAGAGGGGGCATACCCTTCTTCATTGTTATTTAAAGGTGGAAAGCATTTCAATGTATGACAGAAGGTAACGACCCTCACCTCCACCACCATGCTCATCTAGCCCTGCAAGGGCTGTAGCTGGGGCTGCTTCCTTCAGCTCTTCCAGTTGGCTGACACTTGACCCATCTATTTACACAGAGTCCACTAATCTGATTAGTGTTTGAACACCTGGTGGAAGCTGCTTTTGTTTTTGACATCCTTAACAAAAATGCTATACGGGCTACAAATTCTTAGGATTATGTTTCTATCGGCCAGGAGAGTTAGATTTCTGCAAAATTGAAACTTGATAAGGAAACAGAAGTCAGAAATCATACTGAAATGAGGAAATATGGGGAAAAGAATATGAAGTCAAAGGAAATATGACCTAAGGAAATGTGACTTAAGATCTAAGTGACAGACTCTCAGAATTTTTAACTAAGAAGCTAGAGCTTGCCCTTACTCCTTTCTCCATTTTTTGAGGGAGGTGGGGACGGAGTCAGAATTTTAAAAACCCCAGGACACTGGCTGACAAAGTTAACAGCTTACAAAGAATGCCATTCATTTATTCACTGCTGGTATTACTAGATGAAAATTGAGCTTAGCCCAGAGCTTTGTGCTGTATAATTTGGGAAGAAGTTGGACATTTTTCTCATTTTAAGTGTTTTTGTTACTGCAGTTGGATTTCAACTTATAATTGATATTCCACATTGAAACAGCAATAGAAGTTTGGAAAATCAAATGCTTACCTTCCCCATCAAATGTTCCTTGTCCTTTCAGCATTTTTTTCTAAGAAACAAGAAAAGCAAAAGAAGAAAAAGCAAAGCAAACTATGTATGAATGAGCAAATAGAAAAAATACAGCCATTTTAAGAAAAAATACTTTTTTGTTGTTACATTCATTAGATTTCCAAAAGCATACAGCAGATGATCCTTGGAGTAGTTCACTTACATGACTACTACAATTTACTAAAATGGTGAAATACAAGGTACAATGTTCCCCACATCCCATCAAAACAGCTTGAGAATCCTCAAATGACCAACAGTTCAGCTCACTCACTACTCATGATTCACCATCACTATTAAATTGAACTTTGCTATACTTGGAGAGTTGGAAAAAAAAAACATAAAATGTTACGTAATTTCTTTAAGGCCATAGGATTTTAAATAAAACAGGCTTGCTTGTATATTACATATGTGACATATATATAGACTGGTTCCAGTTCTCTGATTAATCAAGAAAAGATGTGGCTGCCAAAATGAATTTCTGCCCTATTGCTGAGATTTGTCTTGTTTCTGGAGAAACCAGCACATGAACAATCCAAAATATCTTTCTGGAGCTTTCAATTTCTTTATGTTATATTTGACACATTGTAACAAGTGCAGCTTCTAGGACTTTATCAAGGAGCAATTCCACACAGCTTACTTGAACCTGAAGTTTTGAGTTATCAACTAGTTAAATGCATTCCTACATAAATGGGCACAAAATGGGAATAAAACACAACCAGGGGCCGAGGTGACAGGGGCACGCAATAACAGATGACAAATTACCTATATCTTTTGTGTTTCTGGCAATTGATTATAAAATTCATATTTTACCTGAATTGTATTTAGTATATGATCACCACTGAAAAAATATTCCATAATGAAATAAGTAATGCACATAATTGACTAATTAATTAAAATAATTAAAAAATCCATAGGGTCAAAAGAAATCAGTAGTTCCCTGTATCAGCTTTGGTGAGTTCAGCAGCCACTGGCTGACACCTCTAAACAAGCCCCACACACAGTCAAGAGTGCAGATCCACCCCTGCTCTCAGCTGACTTTCCCTCCAACTGTATTATAAAACACACTCAGCCAATATTTAATTTGTTATAACTTTTTCCCATTCTTCCCCCACATTTTGCCTGAGCTTAGAAAGCTGAAACAGTGATAAGTTTCACCTCCACAAAGCTGCATTAACCTGGCCTGTGCCTCCCAGCAAGAGAATGGCCAAGGGATAGATGTACACACCCTCCTGATCAATAGAAGTAAAAGGAACCATAACTTCCGGTTTCCTCTGTACCCTCCCCCCCACCCCCACCACCTTCACCTCTGGCTTAGTGAATGGGGGGCTCAGGGAGTGACATGCTCGAAACCCCGGCCCCCTCTTACCTTTATCCTTCCCAGGCTGGAAAACTTCTCCTTGTCTTCCATCACTGCTTTCAGAGCAGGTTGAGACATCCTGTTCTTCTTCTTTGAGGTGGTAGGACTGTCAAATTCAAAGCCACTGACCACCGCCCTGCGATAGGACGTGGACCGTAAACCTCTCCGCAGAGACCCCGGGCTGTCCACGTCGTTCTCGGCCTCGCCGTCGTCCTCTGCGGGGCCCAGGGGGGCTCCGAGGCCCTCCACCATGCTGCGCACCTTGAGGAGTCTCTTGTGGGGCTCCACACTCTGACTGTTGGATTTACTTATTCTAATTTCCGAGGCCAGGCTCTTCGGTATGATCTGCTGCTTCCCCACTTTGAGGGCGGCGGGACTGTTTGTGCTCAAAACCACTGAAGGATTCTCGGGGAGCTCGCTTTCCTGTGAGGGCAGCCTTTGGAGGGGGAGTTTTTGTTCCAAAGACCTCTTCTGGGGCGCAGGAGAGAGTCTCAAGGGACCCCGCTCAAGGTCCTTAGCCGTCTGGCCGGTGTGCGAACGGGAGCCTGCGGGATCCGTATTAGGGGTGAGCCCATTTGCAGCTGGCGTAGGCAGGTTGGCGGTCAATCCGGTCCGGTCCCCCTCCGGGCTCCAGTGGGCGGGCGCAGTAGGAGTCCGTGGGGGGCGCAGCGGCTGTGGCGCAGGCGAGATCACTGTGCCATTCTCTGGGGATTTCGGGGAGCCGCCTGACGCCGCTTTGGGGGCCTGCGGTGACTTGGGCCGTCGAGGCCGAGGAGAGACAGCTCTGCACTCCGGGGAGACGGTCCTCCCATTGGTCACCGCCCTTCCATGGGCGCAGAGAAGCAAGGTGCTCTCCTGGACCCTCCTGCCGTCGGAGGCGGTGAGCACCTGGGCGGGAGACTGCGCCGCGGGAAGCGTCCCTTGATCCTCCACCGGGAAATCCGTGATCAGCAATCCGCTGGGACTTTGGTAGGACTGGGGCCTCGGCTTGCTCCGGCCCAGCAACTGGGGCTCAGGGGTTGACCGCCTCCGCCACAAGGGGTTTAAACTGCTGCTAGAAAAATCCACTTCGCTCTTGCCATCCATAGCGGAGCCTCGGGAGTCAGCCCCGGGTGGAACAGCACCTAGTTAGTCTTGCCTAAAGAGGAAAGAAGTCATGGAACTTTGCCTCCGTTCAACCAGGCACGCCTTGCAGACAGGCGCGCTCTCAGCCCGGGGGCCACCCGGCCGCTGCGCGGGACACAACTTCCCCGCCCTTTCTCAGGCAAAATCTGCGCCCACCGCGCGGCGCGGTCCCGGACAGATATCTGGGCTGCACCCAAGCGGATTAATCCAATTTCCTCGGCGTCTCTCCCGCACCTAAAGACCACCCGCGCGGAAGGAGCCCGCCACCAATGCGCCGGGTGAAGCCGATGCACAAGAAACTTGGGACGAACTCAGCTTTCTTGGGAAACTAGCCTCGGGACGCTCCCCTCCGCCGCCATCCAGCCAACCTCCCCCGTCGTTGATCCCCTGACGCTCAAGCTGACCGGCTCCCTGGCGGATTTACCTTCGGGGTTTCGCAGAGCCCAGGGCCGAGGAGCGCCCACCGCCCCGTGGGTGGCCCGGTCCTGGACCGAACCGCCGCGGCGAGAGCTCTGGAGAGCTCTGCAGCGTAGAGTCGCCGGCTCCGCCTCCAAGCCTAACCACGCCCCCAGACTGGGCCACGCCCAGGCTGCCTTCCAGCCCCCGCGTTCCTTGGATCCGCACAGGCTCTGTCTAAAACTGACGAGCACACCTGGGCTGGGTACCCAACTCCGCGGTTCCGGGCGAGGAAATGTCAGCTGGAGGCGGCGGGGGAGCTGCGGGCACGCGGGGTAGTTGCCGGCAGCGTAGCGTGAGAAGGAGCGTGGGAGCCCTGCCCAGACGTAATTCTCCGAACTCTGGGCCCAAGGAATCTCAAGTGTAGAAACCGGGGACGCTGGGCAGAGTAGGCTTTGTGAAATGAGGGAGCTGGCGCGCTTAGCTCCAAACGCACAGAGCCAATCCTCTCAGCCTTCGGGTGGTCTCAAAACACAAATCTGAAGGCGTCGCTCCCCTGCTTAAAATATCTTATAATTTAGAGATTTGAGTGCTTGTGCCTGGAGTATTCCCGGAGGGATACACACGGGCAGCTCGCGGGAAGAGAACTGAGTGCCTAGGACACTGGAGGAAGGGAGAGTTTTCACTCAATAATCTTAGCATTTTATGTATGCTTTGAATCGTGAATGTTACCTATTAAAAATAAACGCAATTTAAATTACAAAAAAAAACCGTTTTCCAGACATACATAGAAAAAATTTCAAAATCCTCCCTGTAGTTTCTGAAACCCCTGCAGGACGTGACTACCTCTACAGCCTAGACTTTTCGCCCAACACTTCTTCCCTCTTTATTGTCAGGCTGCACCCACTTAGACTGAGAGCCTCAGAACCTTCCTTTTGTTCCTCCGTGACCTTCTGACGTGTCACTCCATAAGAGAGGACTTCCCTGACCACTCCTGAATCAGACCACGGTCCCGTTTATTTACTTTCCCAGCCAACTGTTTTCTTTTCTAGACATCACAATTTGCAAATTATATGTGTGTGTGTATATATGTATATCTGCAAGAGGGCAGGAGCCATGTTTATTTACTGCCCTTCTGTATTCCAGGCACGTAGTGGTCACTTAATAAATATTCATTGAATGAATAAATAAACGAGTGAGTGAATGAAAAGAGTGAAGGACAATGACTATTCCCCTCCAAGAGTGCCCTGTTGCCAAACAGTAGAAAGTTGTCTGTGTCCTGGCCGAGCTCCTGCTAGTGAGAAGAACAAGTCAAACTTGAGAAGAAAAATGAACATAAGATCTGTATAATTAATTCTATTAGCAGGATATGTGGGCTGTTCTCCAGGTTGTCTTTCAGCATTCATAGATTCAACAGAGATGCAGTGAGCATCTTGCCCTGTGTGCAAGCCAGGCTACTCATGTTTTCTCCACATACTTTGACCATAATAGCCAAAAATATTAAGAGACAACATCTGGCTTGTGAGATGAAGCATGTTTTTCATGCTCCTTATACTTTTCTGCACTTACCAAATGCTGTACATTGAATATATATTACTTTGATCTGAGATACTTTTGTAAACTAAAAGAAATGGCATCAAAAATTTTATAAGAAATTAAAAGAAAAAGAAATTTACCAAATATTTTGGTTGGAAGAAATCCAATTTATCATATCTCCATTCCAATTTATCATATTTATTCAAATCTAACCTATCTTCAATTGAATGTACCACCAAGAAAGGAAAAGAACTGCTAATTAAACTAGGGTACTGGGTTGTGTCATAGGATTTTTTCTTGTACTTATGGAAACAGTGCTTTTAGACAGGTTTTTCAGTAATGTGAATATATAGAAGAGGAAAATATAAGCAAAATAAATTGATTGAGGGATTTCTAAAAATTCAGTACACTAAGTCTAATTCTCCTGAATCCTTTTTCACAAAGAACATCAATATGTGTGTTTTTCCACACAATACCCATGAAAGTGCAGTATGTCTTTAAAAAATGTTCTAGTCTTGTCTCTGGGATATGTTTCCTAGCCACTGACACCTTTCTGCAGATTTGATGCTGGCACTATCCTATTTGACTAAAAGCATAGCTTTCTTGTTAAACTGAATCATATGTCCCTACAAAGCTATGAAGCTTCTCTTTAATGACCAGAAGGAATTTTCTGGAGAATGGAAGTACTACGCTTTAATTATAGTCGTGTATGATAATGAATTGGTTGTATCAGTCGCTTGTTGCTTTGGAATTTTTTTCACCTAATCTGATGCATATGGCAATTTCTCAGGCCTTCAATGCAATGCCATCAATGCAGGCCTTGCAATGTCTTAGCATATGGCTTTGACACTACTAAATTGCATAGCATTCAGTGAAATGATGACAATTTGAACAATTACAAACACTTTCACAGATACAGAGGCAATGGCTGCTATATCATACTGCCACCAGGCCAATGGCTTTTTCTTTAATAGTAAGTCACATTCTGGTTTCAAGGATGTTAAAATGTGGGACCGAAGTACTTCTTACAGTTAACACAATAAATTTAGCCAACATCCATCACGTCACATAATTACACCTATTTTTTTTGTGATGAGGACTTTTGCTCTGTTAGCAACTTCTAAATATATAAATACAGCATTGTTAACTATAGTCAACATGCTGTACATTATATCCCCAGAACTTGTCTTATAACTAGAAGTTTGCATCTTTTGACTTCCTTCACCCATTACCTCCAATGAGATATTAAACTATTAAAATATTCAACTATGTAATAAAGGATACCAGAGACTGAGATACTAATTATTGCTACATCTACCAAATTTGCATTGATCACCAATTATGTGTCTGGCATAATAATTAGGCTATTTTTAAGTGCAAGTTGTTAACTATTGTTATTACCCTGTAGTTGTATCTAATGCATTCCTTATTTATTTGTTTTGCATTCCAAAAATACTTATTGGGTGTATTTAAATAACAAGCACTGGGTCACCCTTCCTGAAGTTTATAACTTGGCTCATTAACTACATCTAAAACATTATAATAATATAAAACACCCAAGCTGAGTAAGATGCATGACAAGCTAGCTCTCTGTTTTCTGAAAACCTTTATGAAGGGGTCTGGATAGAGCTGGGCCAGAAGAACAGGTAAAATATTAGGAGGTGGGGAAGAAAAAGGTATCCCAGGCACATGACCCAGCATGAGCAAGAACATGGAGGGATGGCTGGAAAACTGGTATTTTTGAAGTGCCAACTATATGTCAAGCACTATTATTCATTGCATATAATTTAATCTCACATTAATCCTGTCTCCACTTAAATATGGAGTAGATGATGCTCAAAAAAAGCTCTTCTCATACCTTTGGTAAGTGGCTGAGTCAGAATCCTAACTCAGGTCTCTCAGATTCCAGAGCTTCAAATACCAGGAACTAAACTCACAAAGACAGACAGTTAGCAATTAGAAATTATGGGAGATAAACTTGGCTTGGTAAATTGAGAATAGAATATGGTGTGCAACAAAAACTAGAGAGTCTGGATTTTACTTCTATAGCATCTAACACTCTCTGAAAGTGTTTAAACTTTGCTATCCTTTAAAAAATAAAACTGATAACACCTGTCTAAGAAATCAAAATAAATATGTAAATAAAAATAAACAGATTTGTTTATGCATTAAAAAACATCTACCTAACCTCATAAAATCTGAGGGAACTCTCTTAGAGGAAAATCAGAGAAAAATATTTAAATACATACAGAATAGATACAGCACTCATGTCTATATCATCCACTAATCAATACAAAAAAGATAAAACTAACAATGTAAAAATGAGCAAAGTAGGAAAATATGCATTTTAGAGATGCCACAGTGCCCACTACATGTGAAAATATATTCAGCCCGTATATTCAGCCCTAATAATAAAAACAAAATTGAAACAGTGATGAGATCATAGCTTTTCATCCATGAAATCAACAAAGATTAAAAAAAAAACTCTACTATTGGTAAAAGTGCAGGTAAAATAGAGTTCTGACTCTTTCATGGTAAGAATGTAAATTGGTGCAAACTTTCTGGAGAGCATTAGATAATACTTGATCAAAACCTTGAAAATAAACTAATCTCTGACCTACTAATTCCAGAAAATATTCCTGAGGAAATAACTGTTGGTGTGTGCAAAGAAGCATGTTCAAGGATTTTCATCAAAGCATTTCCTACTGTGGTAAAAAAATTAAAAGCAACCTTAGAGCTCATTGGTGGGGTACTCGTTAATAAATCATGAGGTACAATGCAGCTATCAAAAATAACAGTGTAGACATATAATCATTCATACAAAAATTCAAGATACAATAAGTGGGGGGAAGCTACTTTTAAACAAAGTAGAATGTTCTACTTTGAGTAAAAAAAATGCAAATAGCTATGTGTTTATGCTTATAACCCTGATTTGAAATACTCAGAATGTTAGCATGTCTACCTCTGTGCAGAAAAAAAAAAAAAAAAAGGTGGTATTTCAGCTATGCTTTGCTGTGAAATAAACCACCTTACCACTTAGTGGCTTAAAATAGCAGCTTTTGTTATTTATTGTTCCTCAGCATTGTGTGGGCTGGCGCGGTGGGTCTTGCGTTGGCCCTTCTGTGGGTCTCCCTGAAGCCAGCCCTGTGTAGGCTGCTTCACAAGGACACAGGGAGCCTCATGCACGTGCCTGAAGGTCGGTGCTGGGTCTTAGCTGGGGCTCCTCAATTCTCCCTTTTTTAGATCTTAAACATCCTGCACAGACTTAGTATCCTTGGTACAATGAAGTAATAAGTCAAAAAAGAATGAATATTTTGTGGGAAAGGATATTTGAAAAAGAGGTTGTTTACTAGGGAAATAAGTTCTTAAAAGGAGGCTTTCTATAGCAATTATGATAAGGATTTATATGTTATCCTGTGTTTTTCACTTTTATTTGTTTTTAGGTTTTTATTGATGTGTGGTGAACATGCAATATTATATTAGTTTCAGGTGTACAACATGGTGATTCTACGTTTCTATGAATCATGAAATGATCACCTTGATAAGTCTAGTTACCATCTGTATCCTGTGTTTTTAAAACATTTTTTGAGCACTTACAATATATTAGACCCTCTTTGAAATGATGCAAATGTACTAAAGAACTTAACCTTCACAACAACCTTATAAAGTAGGAACTACCACTTTCTCCATTTTATAAGGGAGGAACTAACACACAGAGAAGTGCCCAAGCAGTCTGGTCCCAGGCTGGCTCATGACTATCACACTATTGTCATATCGTTTGGGATTCCATTATTTATTTATATTCATATATTTTTCTAATAAAATGGGAGCACTTAATTTCAGACTGGTTCTTTCTCCTTCAATATTTCAGAAATGAACAGATGGATCATTTGATGAGAAAGGAGGCAGAATGAGAGAGGTCATCCAATTCAAAAGAGAAACACAAAAGCCTTAGAAAGGAAGAGTTCCTGGAAAATATCGAATCAGCAGCGCTGTTCATCAAATTTGGCTCTCGGCTGGTGCCAGGCCTTGAGCTAGCTGTAGACACAGTGGTAGAGAAAGTAGACATGATCCTGATTACAGTCCTGCCAGCCGTCTGTCAGGAGAGACTAACCTTGGGAGGCATCTAATGCTAATGATGTTGCCCACTCACAGCCCTTTCAGCTAGCACCTTCAGGCTTCGTGGGTGTGGAATCCAACTTGCAGGGCTTTTGGAGAAAGCAGTCAGTGTGAAAACTTAGTACAGGCACTGAACTGCAAGTGTGGGAATTTTGACAGTAAAAGCAAGAAGGAAAATAGGACAGCTGTTAGAGGGAAAGGGAGAAATAAGCAGTTTTATTTCAAGACTGGGACACTTGGCTGGAAGTCAGAAAGCTGGATTTCAGTCTGTGTCTGATACTTTCTTACTGTGGAAGTGAGAACAAGTCACCTAATCTCCAAGCCCACAGTTTCTTCAACTGCAAAATGAAGTTCCACCTCCTCAGCACAGTTTTGGAAACACTGGTATAGAT